TATTTTATATTATAATGGTATTAGAGAGTCTTGTTATTTTTTGTCTTTCTTCTCCATCTTCACTCAAATAGTCTTAATTTATCACCACTTTATAAGATCCAAATTTTGCAGAAAAGTTATTATATGTAATTCATTTAATGTTAATAACTAAGTATAAGGTAGGGATGATGTACATTATTGTCTATGATGAGAAAAGAGAACCACCTTCAGAAAGTCAGTCATCCTCCCAACCCACTACAAAGGATTCCAAAAGTAAGAGGGCAACTGCCTTTTTTTTTTTTTTTTTGAGCTTAGTGGTGCCAATTATAATAAGGATGAAAAGATGATAGAAAGGAAGTGTAATGGACATTGTGGATTAACATTAAACATCTCATCTTCCATGTAGAGCACCTTCCTCTATCAGAGGGTATGAAAGTAAGACCTACATTTCACAAAGTTTCCTGAAGCTTGAATAGCAGATATAATTTAAATTTGGCAGAAAATAATATCCATGTGGCATTTGGAAGGTGGGATGTGAAGTGGACATCTTATCTAGTAACCATGATAAAAAAATGAGTGAATCTAGTTGAAGGAGACTATCTAAAATAGTGTCATTTCAACAGATAACCGATATATAATAACAAATATACTACATTGTTTTTAATACAAAACCTTTAAAAATAGTATCATATTTTACATCTGTTGCCATGTGCATTTGGACTTGCCACTTTTCAAATCCTCAATTGGCAAACTTGTGTCTGTTAACCGTATAGGATTATCACTTTCTTCTGTAAGAACCAGGTAGAAATGGTGACCACAAAATTTCTATGCAGCGATCTTTCAGATTTTTATTTTTAACATTTGAATAATTTTTTAAAATGCAGAAGTTGTTCTTCATTCATGGAACGTTCATAGGCTAGCTTGTCACCCATGCTCTGGTCTGCCTCATTAACACTTCTCCTGGTTCTCTGATATCTGTGCTTAATCCTTCCGGCCTACAATAGCTAGAGGAAATTAGCTTCTTCACAAAGTTTTGCATTCTATGAAATCGACACAGAAGATTGTTCTCATTCTACCAAAAAAAAAAAAAAAAAAGGATCCTGAGATCTAGAGAGTTTGAGCAATTTTCCCAGATCAGATGGTTTATAGAGGCACAAGGAAAATTCATATCTGCTCAACTTCAAAGCTCGTGCTTTTTGACATCACAGCATTCATTCTCCATTATTAAGAATCTCTTTAGCTTGGTTAATGACTTCACTCATCCATTCATTTAGCTTGCAGATATTTACTACATTTGTCCAACACATACCTGCCCCTGCCCCACAAGTAAATACATTTTTGAAAAGGCTCAAATTTCATTTCAATTTATGAGATACAAAATGAAGTGGAAGACTGACAATTATTTGCTTACTTCACCCAATATAGATGACAAACCACATAATTCTGGCTTGATCTACTTAACCCTAAATTGGCAGAGATACAAGTGTTTTATGTTCTCTTATTCTAATTCAAGATAATTTATTAGCTTTAGACATAATAAGGAGGTGTTAAAATAGGTACAGAATCAAGCAGTAACAGCTTACATTTTAACTACTATTATAATAATATGGTAGCCTACCCTTGTTTATGCTAGTATGCTTTTCTTCAGCACATTTATTTAGATTCATGGTCACTCTATAATTTGTTTTGGGTTGTAGCCCTCCAAAGTTTCCTCACTTTGCTAATACACTAAAAGTGGATCATTTTTTGTTCAACATCACTTGTAATCAGGGAAATGCAAATCAAAACTACCATGAGATACCATCTTACACCAGTGAGAATGGCACATATTAAAAAAACTAGCAACAGCAAATGTTGGTGAGGTTGTGGAGAAAAAGGAACTCTTCTGCACTGTTGGTGGGAGTGCAAACTGGTCCAACCACTATGGAGAGCTGTGTGGAGATTTCTGGACCTACTAAACATAGAGCTTCCATATGATCCAGCAATTCCACTCCTAGGTATTTACCCAAAGGACACAGAAACATCAATTCCAAAGAACACTTGCATCCCTATGGTTATAGCAGCACTGTTTACAATAGCTAAGCTTTGGGAACAGCCCAAATGCCCAAAAATAGATGACTGGATCAAGAAGATGTGGTTCATGTATATACCATGGAATATTACTCAGCATTCAAAAAAGATAAACACATGCAATTTGCAGCAACATGGATGGCGCTGGAAGGGATCATGCTCAGCGAAATAAGCCAAAAAGAAAAAGAAAAATACCGGATGGTCTCACTCATAGCAGGAATCTAGAAAACTTAAATCAGGGACCAGGAAAATGAATATAAGAAAGTGAAAATCAAAATCAACAAAAAACTATGAACTAGAGACACTTTTTGGGGGGTGGGGGGCGGGAGGGGAGGGATTGGGGTCAGAATGGGGGGTTTGCAATTGTATGGGGGAATATAAAAATAAAATTTATTATTTAAAAAAAAAGAAAAAAAAGGGTGGATCATTTTTACTACCCCTTTATAAAATTAAATAATTAATTCTTATATTGTAAGTCAGTTTCTCCTTGGACCCCTCTCTATGACCATCCTGTCCTAGAACTGCAATACAAACCAGATATTTATGATGTTCCTCACTTAAAATCCCCAAATAAACTCCTTTTCCTTCAACATTTACCCTACCCTTAATTGTGCAGTTGTTTTACATGAGATTATCTCCTTTGAGATTCTGGACCATTCTTTCGGCATCTATGTTGCTGCCCATCTAATTTAAAGCAATGATTCCACATAGTGAAACACCTAATAAGTATGTGTAAATAAAACACCTTTAAGGGAAGCCAAGAAGCCTAGGATTCTTCTCTCATTTTGATTTTTCTTTCCGATTCATGTGGCAATTGATATTCTTTTCAGAATGGGCTATAGTTTCTACTGTAACAACTAGATGCGCTGTCAGTTTGTGGCTAAGGAGTTTGAGAGTCCCTTCCTCCCCAGGAAGATTACCACTATACTTGGCTGAGCCTATTATTTTCATAGTATTTCTAGAACATGAATCTAAAAAGAATAAGATTTTTCTGACACTATTGAAGCTGGTCCAAAACCTCTTTCCCTTAAATTTAAAATTAAAAAGGATTTGAGAGTAATAGGAAGAAAAGAGCCTCCATTCTTCAGGTAAAGTTCTACATCACTAAGTTTTATAAAAGAATAACAGTTTTATCCAAACCATGAAATAATTTTCATTAGGAAAAAATAAATATTAATGATTATTTAATAGGAATGGGAAAATTCAATAATGAAACAATAGACTCAGTGTTGAACCAGTTAACATTGCAGTGTGAATATTTACACATAGATACATTTATATTGTGCAGATATCTTAAAATGGAGATATATACACAAATGTATGTGTGTATGGAGAGAAAGCTGTAGCAATTTACATTATGTTTCTATTATTCTCATGTACTTTGCAATGTAAGTGAAATTAGAAAAAACTTTTAGTAGATTGCTTGACCATTGACTTGATATTATTTTTCCTGCAAAATTGTTAAACTCACACATTTAAGGAAATACCTTCAGGCTTTTCAGCCTATTCAACTTTTCAATTACAAAGTAAAACGCCTTACATACATTTTTTTAATGCCAATGGATAGTTTTCATGTAAACTGTTGTTCTCTCACATAGTAACATGGAATATATATTCTTATTTCCTCTAATGAATATCTGTCAAAATCAACATGGATATTGAAAAAGAGTTTCCAGCACTATTTTTTTTTACTAATTGAAATGAATTGATCTTTTCTTGCATTTTAAGTTGATGTAAGTCTTTGAGAAACAGATACTTTCTATAAGATGTAAGTTAGAAGTTTTCAGTGTCCTCAAAGAATAAAATAGGTAGGGTATAAAGTTAGGTGCAAAATTAGAAGGCACTTTACTGTAATCCTTTTTCTAGATTACAGGAGAAAAAATTCTGTAATTTAGTTTTGGATCATCTTTATAACTGGGAAAGATCTTTAACACATTTCAACATTTCTAAACTTCACTAAAGTTATTGTGAGGATGAACACAAATAATTTCATATATCACATCACCAAGTACAGTCCCTTAAAACAGGAAGTCCTGAATAAATGATAGTTAATAATTTTTATGTTGTAATTGGGAAGAAGTCTGGTTATAGTGTTAGGAGATGATCTCTAAACCTTTAAGTATAGGAATGTTCTTTATTTGCTACAGACACAGACTATTTTGTATGTCTTAAGCCAGAATAGAAGCAAAATAAATTCATTAGTATGGGATTAATTCAAATACATCACAACTGACTAAGAGAACACTCTTAAATGGGAACAGGACCAATTTTTCAGAACACAAAAAACTCTACTTTTTAGAATTGTAAAGGTAATTCACAAAACTCTTTGAATTTGCATTCTTAGTAATATTCATGTTTTGTAAGTTTATGGTGTACATAAATTTAAGAAGCAGCTGAGTAAAGTGCTTAGCACAAGCTTTGAACAGCAAGTGTACTGGAGTTGGCACTAGAGGCAATTAATAATTAAATAGTTATTGTAAGCCTGCTATTAAATCATTAGTGGCTTTAAATTGACCATGGTAGGAGAACTTATACCACATTGTGGCAAGTGACAAATGCTACAGATCTGGCACTGCCCCAATCCCAATTCTTTTTTTTAACCAGTAAACTACAGATAACTATTCATCAGCTTTACTACTTAATAGTTTATAGCCTTTAGCAATTTATTTTGCCTTTTTCTCCTGCAAGTTCCTCATCAGAAAATGGTATAATTATTTTTTTTGTCATAAGGTAGTTTTGAGGTTTAAGGTAACTTATACAATTACCTAAGGCATACTCAATAAATGAAAAATGGTAGCTCGTTTTAATAAGCCTAGGCATGCAGAAGACAATAAAAAAAACAAAAATAAATGAAATTTTTCTGAACCGTTGGGTTTTGCTGAATAAACATATCAATAAGGAAGTGATTCTAAGTATATAATAAAGACGGAATCCTCTCAACTCAAACTCACCTTGGAAAGATTGCTGAGTGTTTCTCCATACTCCACAAGGGGTGAGAGAACAGAACCAGTTCTACCCGAGGCGCTTTCTTGGTTAGCTTGTTATTCTGGGACTGGCTCATATAAACTGACCATAGAGCCCTCCTGCAATATTGAGATATGTGTGAGTCATGGATAACAGAATAATTTTCCTTGAAAAGTCATCGAACTGAAAACCCACCTTTATCTGTTGCCCTATCTGAATTATCATGGGCATAGGGATTAAAATTTTATGGCATACCAATTTTCAGCGGTGAACAAGACAGTGAGGAAAGATATTCCCATCACTTCCGCAGAATCCAGATCTCAAACAAGAGTCTTAAGTTTTGGGATGCATGCATAAAATGAAACAGTTCTTCAAGAAACATGATGGAGACATCAAGTTCAACCAAAGTACTAAATCAAGGCTTACATGAACACCAATGAATTATACTGGGTATGTTACAAACTTTAGCTCTATCTATCCCTCTAATTAATACTACATTTTTGTGTAGGAAGTATGATCTGTTATATTTCAACTTCTTCAACTGTAAATGAATGAGAAAAACAGAATCCAAACAAAGACAGAGGCGGCATTTCAAATCACTGAAGACATGGTGTGGGGATAATTGATTTGTAACCTTACTGGGTTACACAGTCATGTTCAACTCAATAACTATATGATGAGCTCGACAAGAAAATCATCTTGCTTCCAGTGAAGCTTTCTAAAAGCCTCATCACAATGTAAAACTCTAAGAAAAATTCTGGACAGACTGGCATACATTAAAGGATATTCCTTCCTCCTTTTGAAAGATAGACCCCATTTCAAGTTTATAGATCCAAAATAATAGCAATCACCTTTAATGGATTATTTATAGTATCCTTAGTTCAGAATGGGTAGTTCATTAAGTTTGCCTTTAAATTTCTCTTAAAAATTCCATTTACACAAAGATTTACAATTTTCCCCAAGACTTAGATAATAGGATGTTTAACTCTTTCTCTGGCTTTCCCTGGTGGTCATCTTTATGTGATGCTCCATGTATAAAATCTCCTCCTTCTTAGAGATTTAAAGATCAGTATATTTATATATACCTCCACTTTTTAATTCTACAATCTTTCTTTCCACTGAATCAGTTTTTAATCTCTTTTTTTAAATGCAGTGTCCCATATGTTCACATTTCTACAGGCACATATAAAATATGTTTTGAATTATGTACAAATTCCTGAAAAAAGCTATAAGCCCACCTCTTTTTCACAGCTCCTAACAGCACAGCACGGTGCTACAACACCCTGCTTGAGAGCCCATACGCTAAATAATTTTATTTATTTACTCCATGAGAAGGAATGAAAGATAGCTAAAATGATGTTGATTTTTTTTTTCACAAGTACCTTGTGGACATTTTCTAATAAAAAAGAAAATAATAATTTTGATGACATATAAACTTTGTAATGCTTGACCACAATCATTTTAGTGTTTGTGATGGTTCTGTCTAATCAAACAACCCTTGGTTCAGGACAATTTTAAAAGACAGGAAAGTGCTGCAGTCAAATTGAGTCCATGAGGCATATCTTTGAAGTACTGCTTTTTGAGTGTGTGCTCCTTTCTCTCTATTACAGAGAAAGACAGTCATGCTCATTATGTGGTTGTATGTCTTAGTAGCAGGATTACACATGAATGCCAGGCCATGCTATGTTATAGAAACATTAGCATACTGATTATAGTACCATTCAGAATGATTTCAGAATGCAATTGTCTCTGCTGCTTCACTGCCTATTTCCATGGCAAGTTTATTCATATAAACCACATATAGCCCTTTTAGATCAAATAGAAAAGAAAGTGCAATACCACTTAAATCACCTGAAATGGGATTTCTCCAGTCAGATTTATATGGCACAAAGCAAAGTTGAGCACTGGCGGTTATTTTGTAAATTGGGACCATATAGGCAACTTGAACTCGATGATTCAGCCTGCCACGACTCACAATTGCATTTTATTTTTCAAGATGCTCTAAGATTAAATCCCTTATCTTTGCTTAAAATGCCTCCTGTTTAGGTATTACATCCTATGTTAGCGCCATCTCTAGCACTTATGTTAATCTTATTTGCAGTTTGGAAAGAAAACAAACATCGAAGTTAAACCATTTTATTTCTCCATATGATAAGGATCTCCATCGACATCTTGAAAAAACAATGAATAGGCATAAATGCCCTTTTGTAAACACAGATAGAAATGAATAAAATTATTTTTGAAATCCATTTTTAGTATTGGCAGATGGTCACAATTGTAGGTTAGATTTACAAAGTATTTCTAAGTCAATGACTACCTGCTAACTTTCACGGATCCACTTCAGGCTAAAAAAAAAAAGTAATAACGGAAAAAAATAAAAGAACCTGAGAGGTGCTTATACCCTTGAATGAACACAACTACAGGACTGATTAGTCTATTGTACCTTGCATTTGCAGTGCTGTGTAACTGGGAAAGCTGCCTCCATGGTAGTAGAACCAAACCTACACAGAACAGAATTCATTTACTCAAACAATAATGTAATTTTGACTCCTAGGATGTCTCAACGCAAAGTAAGTAACCCCACCGCAGCATATTTATAATTTTTTAAATCATTCTAGTAAGAAATAGAAGAAAATATTTAAAATACTACTTCCAGATTATACTTAGAAATTCAGCATCAAAATATTACATAACTAATTATTATTTTAGATATATTTGTAAATTACTTGCCTCCGAATAGAGTTGGCTTAAGCACTTTAATGAAAACATATTTTCTTCTCTCACTGATAGGAACTTTCATATGAAACACACCCTAAATGTACTAAAATCACCACATAGAAAGTTTAGGGTATATATCCTAATTTCATTCCCTTTGGTCAAAACAATCAATAAAAATGAGAAAATGAGGATATAAATGTGCATATAAAGAAACTTACCAGTGAAAAGCAGAAAAGATTCATTTTTGTCTGTTTCAATCCTTTGTTCCTGAGCTTTGAAGAATCTGATTGTCCCTTGTAGCTGTCTCCTGCCTTCACAGCTGTTTGGATAGTTCTCATGGTAGATTATTACAAAGTAAAATCCCTTCCATAATCCAGGGGATTCAGAAACCATTATCAAATGAGATAGGTCTTTATTGAACAAACGATTTCCTAAATTAATGAGGAACTCTGATTAATAAAATGAGAGAATGAGACTTACCATGATCCATGTAAACATATTTCAGGGGTGGCAATAATATTTCTAAAATATAAGGGAAAATGTAATGAAAATAACTATAGTCTTAGATAACTAAATTGAAAATATGAAGCAAATACTAAGGAAAATATCATTCTTCATTATAAAATTAACACCTTCCCTTTAAAGATGGTAGGTCAAGACTCTGTCCTATCTACCCCTACATCTTCCACCCCTCTTTTCTATAAATTAAAAGAAAATGCTTGATATCCAAATGAAAAGATACTGAAATAAGCACATTTTTATGTTGCTAAAATATACATTACCAAAATTACTGTCTTTCCATTTTTAAGTATAGTTTTGTGGTATTATCCATTTCACTTTGTTTATGCAGCCATCACTAACATCCATCTCCAGAACTTTTTAATCTTGTAAAACTGAAACTCTGTACTCATTAAATAGTAACTCCTCATTCTTCCCTAGTCCAAACCCTCAAAACCACCATTTTGCTTTCTATTCCTGTGGATTTGACTATTCTAGGAGCTTCATTTAAGTGGAATCCTACAGTTATTGTCTTTTTGTGACTGTCTAATTTCATTTAACATAATATCTTCAATGCTCATCTGTTTATTTTCTTTCCTTTTTCAAGGCTGAATAATATTCATTCTATATATAGACAGCATTTCGTTTATCCATTCATACTTTGATGGCTGGCTCAGGAGCTTCTAGCTTCTGGCTATTGTGAATAATGCTACTGTGAATATGGTATACAAATGTTTATATATGCCCTAGCTCTCAATCCTTTTGAGTATATATCCAGAAATGGAATTTTTGAAAAGTTAAATTTAGATCTTGCAAATAACATTTCATCTTCAGGTTGCTCAGGCCTTATTTTTTCCTTAAATAACTTTATTTCTAATATCCTTGGAAAGGGTATCTATACTTGTGCCTTGTTTTTTAATTAGAAATACCTAGAGAGATGCATTGGCACCTTCTGCTTTAGAGTGTTGTTAAGAATGCTGTGAATTCCAAATACCAGGCAACATGACTGAGAGTGCTTATAAAAGAGTCATTCTTCTCAAATAAAAATTGGTCTTTGGATTGATAATCATTGGCATCAGTGTAGAGGGTCAGTGAGGTGAGAGTCAGGTCTCCAATCCCTTTGCCCTTCCTGTCATGGCCTGAATATGGATACAGAAGCTCAAAATAATGAATCCTCATCCAATTGCTTTCAGACAAAAGAAACAGACATCCTCTGCATCGATACCAAGCAGCGTTTTTGTTTGACTATCTTTTTCTTATTCCTCCCAACAGCTTCAGTCCCCTCTTATGTTTTTCTATTTCTGCATGCTTTCCCAAGTTACTATTTGGGGGAGTATTCTTTAAGGCATATTTTGAGATTAATATGAAAATTTAATCAAAATCAGATGAAACTACAACTTTAGGTTTCTTCCTTAGAGTCTCTTTTAAGAACTATAATATTATTTCAAGTCCCATTATTTTAAGATACCAACTATAAAATCTTCACACATACTCAAAGGTAGAACTCAATAATCCCTCCATATCCTAATTACCTATATTCCAAAATTATGAAGTTATTTCAACAGTTGCTGCTTCTACCCTTTTATTCTTATCATTTTTCCTGTCAAAGTATTTTAAAGCTCAGAATACGTCATTTCACTCCTACATACTTCATTTTCTATCTCTAAACTGACATTTTCTTAGATAACCTGTGCGCCATTGCTCCATTTAAAAATTATTCCTTGGTAACTTCAAATACCTCCCTGAGTCACTTCCCCGACAGAGAGATGGAGTCTATTTCTCCAATCCCTTGAATGTGGGCTGAAAATGTGAGTAGATTGATAAATGAAGTGTAGCAGAAGTATCACTGTGCTAGATGTCAACCTAGACTTTCAGAGAACTGCCAGCTTCTATTTCCTCCTCCTTGGAAACCAGCTATCCTATTGTGAGGAAATCCAGGTAACAGGTGAGTAAAGAGACCTACCTGAGGGACTATGGAGGAGTCTGGTGACAGTCCCAGCTGCCTTCCAGGTTGACAACCAGGATCAGTGTGATAGCCTTGTGAATGAGGCCATCTTGGAAGAAGTCCTGGATGAGCCACCATAGCTAGGCCAGATGGAGCAGAGTGTTGTCCTGGAGAGTCTGACCAAATTGAAAAATTGTGAGAAAATAAATTATTGTTATAATCCTCTAACTTCTAGGTTGGTTTGCTATATGATAAGACAGATAAAACATTATTTGAATTAAAATCCAAACAAGGAAGGACCACAAATCATGTTTGATTACCATGTCTCTTGAGACCCCCCCACCCCCGCCCCCATCATGAACATGTTAACTTGTTGCAGATACTAGATTCTCACAGAAACTAGGTCCTACAAAGTATACTATATTCAGCTTTTTCTCTCTGCTTCTTTGTGTATGATTCAGCTTGTTTTTCAGTCTCTGGTATTTCTTATAACTAGACAATAGTTCTTATCTACAAATAGTAATTAGTTCAATTCTGAATAAAACATTTTCAACATTTCACAGGTGGTACAGGTATTGCGCATGGTATCACATCAGGTGGCAATGAATACCTCATACTTCTGATAGTGTGTTTTATTTATTGTGTACCCAAATTTAAATGATTTTGTTAGAAGCTACACACTTTTTATAAGTTATCCCACATTAATTAACTGGAAAGTTTTATAAAGCAGAAATTTCCCTCATCTCTAGTAGTATGGTTAACCTAAAATTCTGTATAACAGAAGAGGCAGTGCATGTGACCATTTCAGAGTAAGAAATTTATACTCTAGATATTTTTTCAATTATTTTTCTCTTCTCCTCTACTTCTTCCCCTGCCTCTTCCTTTTCCCTCTCTCTCTTCCTCGTGGTATTATGAATTTCTAGACTTCAAACCTAATCAATGGTACAATTTAAGGTTAGACCTAGCCTGGGCACCTATTGCCTTCCTCACATCCTTCTTTTCTCATATGCTGAAAATTATCTTTTATTATTTCCTTGGCAGGCGCAATTTCTGTACATTGTAAGATGACAATTATTTCTCATTCCAACACATAGTTATCATGATAGTGTGCAAAGAGCATAAGGTTTGGAGCAGACAGACCTGCATTTAAATGCAATAAGGTACTATGAAATCTCTGACAAGTCACTTAACTGCTCTGAATGCCAATTTCCACTTCTGTAAAAAGGTGATGATAGAATCCATCTTAAAGTATTTTTATATAAACTGATGCCAAGGCATGTAATGAGAATTTCAGGATGGATTCAGCAAACTGTTGTTTGGAATTAATTTGGTCACTTCTTCCAATTAAAGTGCAAACCAAGATTGACCAGTAAAATCTCTCTCACTCAAAGAGAGGGAAGGAAGTAGATCAAGGCCAAAGTGCATCAGAGCAAAAGCCACAAAATCTGGATTCTAAATAAAGCTCTACAACCAAGGAACTCTATAACAAAGCATTCCAAACTCAAAGGGTTTTTCAGCTTATCTACAACATAAAAGAGATAGAATTAGTCTTTCTCAACATTGTTCTCGTAATAGAACAAAAATCAAATGGGAACTTCCTTCAGGCTTCACTCGTCACTTCAAATTCCAAGGAGATGATATCTCAATGCATCTACAACCATTCTTATCATATCAGAAAGTCACCACACAGCAGCTGGGAAACTTTGGTCTGGAGGACTTTTAAAGCTCCCCTAACTCATCATTTGTGATAGAAACTTCAGAGCAGAAAAATGGAAATGATAGAATGGGAGAGAGGAAAACCTTTTCAAATTTAGAGGAAAATCTCATCTTTGCATTCACTCATGAAGTTGTAGTACAGACAATTCTGAGACTCTATCCCCCAGGTGACACTACCATGAATTAGAATGAAATATAAATCACACAATCCTTTTCATCGCAAAGGAAATGCCTTAGTTTCAATAAGTAATAACTTATTGTCTCAAATTCATTTCTAAAAGATGCATAAACAAAGTACAGATGTAAAGTCATGAACTTCAAAGAAGCATAATGAAAAATAGTGGCAGATGAAAATATCCGTTAATTTGAAAATGATTAACAGAAAGGATTACCGTTATATTTTTCAGCTCATGAACCAAGATTATATTTCTTCCCCAATTTAAGCATCCCATATCAAAAGAAGAGAGTAAAAGATGGAGATAGACAATCTCTAGCAGTATATACATTTTTGTGACAAACAGTATATCACCTTTTTAGGGACTGATTTTGAAGGAAAATTGAGGGAGAGACACGTTTAGTAGTTTACAAAAGTTTATAGAAATGCGTTATTTTAGAAATGTTGAAATTTCGAGTTTTATCTCTTAAAAGTATCGAATGCTCCAAGCAACCAAAGTTGAATTTGACAAGGAATATGCTTTTAGGAAGTTGAAGAGATTTGTTTTAGAACATAGTGATTTTCAGATATGGTAGAAAAGAAATATATTTCTGAAAAGGTGAAAGAGTCCATAAATGATATCTCTCTACCTCAATTTCATCTGCAGAGAGAATAGCATGCAATTGGCTTTTTGCAAATTTCTTGCAATATTTTGCAAATTCCTATAAGAAAAAAATCCTGCAATGAATGAAAGATGGATAAACTTTGTAATCAAACTGGAATAAATTATATGTTTAAAGTAACTGACAGGGCTACACTAAAAGAAAAATGTATTTAATTTAAAAGTATATGTTTACAAACAAAATTGCCATTTATCATTAATATACCTTTAAAGTTTTCATGCAATAGACAAGATAAAGATCAGTAATAACAAACATGTCTGAACTGTCTTCTGCCCAAAGGATTGCAAGGGAAGGCCTGATCACTAGCTTGAGTGTATACTAGATTATCCAAATGATGCTGAGACCCTGGAATACTGCATTTTTT